TGTGTGTGTGTGTGTGTGTGTGTGTGTGACGATGTGGAATAGAAGTGGTAAGAGAGGGTATCCGTGGCTCATTCCTGATCTTTGAGGCAAGGCATTCAACATTTTACCACTGAATAGACTAGCTGTGAGCTTTTCATTAGGTAGCTTCTCTTAGATATACTGAGGTACATTCTTTCTATGCTTGATTTATTGAAATGTTCATCATAAAAACATGTTGAATTTTGTCAAATACTGCTGACATAATCATATGCTTTTTGGCCTTGATTCTGTTAATAGTAATAGTAAACATGTATTTTTTAATTTTTTGATTTTTTGGCGGAACTGGGGATTGAACTCAAAACCTGTATATTTATTGATGTGTATATATTGAAACATCCTAGCATCCCAAGAGTAATTTCTACTTGATTATGTTGAATGAGGCTTTGGAAAGTGCTGTTGTAATAACTAAATCCTGGAAATAGCTTGGATACTCATCAACAGATGATTGGGTAAAAAATGTTGTATCTATATATAATGAAATACTCATCAACTATAAAGAATGATAGATCTGAGGCATTTGTAGGAAAATGGATGCACCTGGAAATATAATGTTGAGTGAAATAAACCAGACACACAAGCTTACATGCTGTATGGTGTCTTTCATTGAATGAGGCACAGTACAAAGAGAATGAGAAAGGTTGATAGAAAGGGACAAGGGGCAGACATCTTGCAAGAGGCAAGTGGCCCAAGGACACAAGGATGAAGGGTGAGGACGAGGGGAAGAGGAAATAAGAATAAAGATGGGCTGTGTATTGGAACCTAACAGCCTCAATTAATGTAGACACTGTGTGTCCTACCAAGAACTAAGACAAAGAATAGCAAGTGTAAACAAAGGGATTGGGGAAGTAAAGGGGAAGAGGGAGAGGGGAGGAGGGAGGAAGAAGAAAGGGGACTGGGATTTTTTAAAAAAGAAGCTGCTGTAATATGTGCATGTAATCACTCCCCAAGATGACTGTAAGTTGTATGAATTAGTACAAAGGTGTACTAATGAAATAAATAAATAAATAAATAAATACTGTTGAATCCACTTTGCTAACACAGGTGGAGTATTTGTTTTACAAAAGAGAACAGAAGTGTTTCGAAATTTAAGTTTTTTCAGATTTTAGAATAAATGAAAGCTTAGATTTAGTCGCACTTTCAATTTTGACTTTTTGGAATAGGAAGTTCAACCTGTATTTGCTGAGGATTTTTTGCATCAATGTTCCTATAGATTTGACTTGTAATTTTCTTATCTGATTTCATTTTCAGTATATTATTGGCTCTCTAAAGTAAGTTTTGAAGTATTTCCTAACTTAATGTTTTGTAAAGTTTAAGAAAGATTTTAATTCTTCCATGAGCCCTTTTAGTTCTGGGTTTTTCTTTTTTGAAAGAGCTCAATTACTAGTTTACTCTCCTTACTCATATTAGTGCCATCAGGTTTTCTGTTTCTTTGGTACTTGTGCACTTCTAGCAAATTACCCATTTCTTTTAGTTTTTTTCAATTTGTTGATGTATGACTATGTAGTGGTCTCTTTCCCCTACTATTTTGATTTTGTATAATTTTTTTTTTTTTTGGCAGAACTGGGGATTGAACTCAGGCCCTTGTGCTTGCAAGGGAAGCAGTTATTCTACTGAGCTATCTCCCCAGCCCTTTATGATAATTCTGTACTGACAATATTTGTTTAACTTTATCTGTATATGAGTGGCTTTATATGTTGATCTTTCCTTCCTCTCCAGGTCTCAGTTTAGAATCATTTTTCTTATTGTAAATATATCCTTTAGAATTTCCATTAGAGCAGATATTTTTGTGATAACATATGGATGTTTTTTGGTTTTTCTTTCTTGAAGAATCATCGTTCTACATGTATAATTCTACATTGGTGATTATTTTCTTTCATCTAGTCTTTTCTTGGCTTTGCTTCTGTTTTTCTGAAAATAAGCCTGAAGTCACTTTTCTTTACATTCATGTCAGCAAATTAAAATAATCCCAAACAACAGATACACGTATTTTTTTTTTTACCACTGGTTGCCCTCAGCACTCTGTCTTTGGTTTGCTGTAATTTTATTATAGTGTGTGTGGTGATGAATTGTTTTTATTTCTCTTATTAGGTATGTAGACTTATTTGTGATTTGTGGATGTACACATTCTCTTACTTTTGAAAAATTCTCAGTCATTTTCTTTTAAAATATTTTCCCCCATAATTTTATTTTCTTCTTCTGGAACTTTAATTTGACATATGCTAGATCAGAAGCTGACAAAAATTCTCTGAAAAGGCCATTTTTAGGCTTCCCAGGCTACATTCAATCTGTGTTACATAGTCTTTGTTGCTTTTTAAGAATACACAGCCATTCTTTGCTTGCTAAGACATAGCAAAACCATATGCTAGACTTTTTTCTCTTCATCATAGTTCTTTATCACTCATATTTTTGTATCATAATCTCTTTGCAGCATTTAATATAAAGGATTTTCTCTTAGTTGACTAATCCTCTCTTCAGCTCTTTCGAATGCCTTCTAGCTTATTCATTGAGTTCAACAATTATGTATTTTTGGGCCAGCCAGATGGCTCAGAGGATTAAAGCGCCTGCTTAGGCAGAGCACAGTGACTGGGTTCCATCCCTGGTGTGCCGTGCCAGCCCCATGCCCCAGCGTGCTCTGAGATAGTGACTGAGACTGGGCATGGTGGTGCAGGTGCCTATAATCCCAGTGCGTGGGAGGCTGAAAACAGGAGAATCACTACAAGTCTGATCTGTGTATTGAAAGCCTGTAGATCCTGTACTAAATCCATTTAAAAAATTATGTAGTCTTATTTCAGATATTCCTTTTTCAAAATTTTGTTTTCTGGTAGTCAGATATCTCAATTGGTTACGGATGCTATCTTGCACTCTCTTTGTCTCTTTCTGTTGGTCTCTCTCTGTCTCTGTCTTTGACTGTCTTTCTGTCTCTCTGTGTCTCTGTCTCTCTATGTCTCCCCCCACCCCCAATGTTATGATCAAATCAGAAGCCTCAGACATAGCATTTTCATCTTACTCATCTTTCCAGGTCTAATCTTCCCCTTGCTGTTGTCATAGAAATGCAAGCTCAGGGGCATCTCCCCTGCCCCACTTTCGTGGCTGCCAGCTTCTGTTGCTCCTCTTTGGGCTCCTTGAATTCACATTGGCTTGTTTTTGTGGGTGTAGGTCATTGGAGATCTGTGCCGGAACGTATGGGCACAGAGCTAACGCAAAGGCTCTGTTGCAGCTAAGGAACAGCTACTGGTAGGCTGGCTGATTCCTGAAGTTTCTAATAATTTTTAATATCAGCAGTATACATCTGTATCAGTCTTATACTCAGAAAAGAGTACCTCTGAAAAGTACATTTATTCTGACATATTTCTTGGAGTAAATATGAGTAAAAATATATTCAAGTATTTTTTCCATGTATTCTTCATAGAACATTGTTCTCAATATTCTTATTTTGAAGTTATTTTACTTCATGTTCTAAAAATTCACCAATGTTTTTAACATTACCATTAATTTGATAATCAATAATTGAGAAATAATGAGCAACATTATATTAATTTGTGTACATCACTCTATACCAGCAAGAATTTGATATTTGATTTAGAAACCCTTATGTATGTAATGAATGTATTTACTTTTCTTAACTTAGGAAAATGTCTGACCAAGAGGAACCATTGGATATTCGAGATATAGTTGACTCAACAGAAGAAAGTGATGATGCGATTGATATTGTCAATATCCCACTTCCGTTAGAGATACTGGAAGAGTCAGAACCAACTGAAGAAAATGGGTCTGAAGCAGAACAGTTGAGTAGGAGTCAAGAAACATCTGAAGAGCATGATTACCAGAGTGCTACAAGTCTGGAGTCCAGTGAAGAACAACTTGTGGAAAAGGCTGTGTCCCCACGACAAGCTTCCGGTTCTCTGAGCCATGAGAAAGAGCAGCCTGCCATGGAGTCAGACAAGGAGAACCTAAGCGATGAAAATCTGACTTTCCTGGATAAAATAAGAGCTATAAAGCAGAATTTGCAAATACCAGTTGAAGATTCTTCAACAACAGGTATTACTCAGAAAAGAGAGGAGATTTTATTTTCCCTTTTTAATAAATGGATGCTATCTATCTAATCTATCTATCTATCTATCTATCTATCTATCTATCTATCTATCTATCTATCATCTATCTATCTATCTATCTATCTATCTATCTATCTATCTATCACTATTTTCCTGTTCTCTTATTCACCAGACTCCTGTGGTTTCACCATTTGAATCTATTGAATATCTGTGAAAAATTGTGTCCCACACTGTCTATTCCTCCTCAAGAAATGATCATTATTAAATTTTACATTCAGATTTTTATATTTTTTTTTTTTTAAAAAAAAGCCTTTAAAATTGCTGAGATGAGTTTAGGCATGATGGTGCACTCCTGTAATCCCAGCCCGGGGGAGGCTGAAAACAGGAGGATCACTACAAGTCCGAGCTCTGTAGTAAGACCCTGTACCAAACACGTAAAATCACTCAGAGACCTTAGAAAATGGTGGACAGATGCTTTGGTTTCATTGGAATCCCGTTGCACGCCAATTTGGAGTTAACTGTTGTACATCGCTAGCAAGCGGTGGGATGAGAGCTTGATTCTTGATTTTTGTAGTGTTTTAGTCAGGGTCTACTGCACCGGACAAGTGGCTTTTACATAGGACTGTAGTTTGTTTTGTGTTGAGTTTGTATTTAGCTTTGGAAAAATCATTGCTATCTTTCATTGTAGATTAGTTTTAAAGGCATTCACCAAGCAATACTTGGTAGCACATAGTGGTCACTATTGCCTTCTTGTTAACAAAGAAGGGAAAACAAGAATAAGGTGTTTACACAGAAAACCTTTAACTCATCCTTTCTTTTCCTCCTTATTTATGAGTTTTAAGACAGTTTCCACCCACAATGTAGAGAACACCAGCTATTAACAATAACAACAGCAACATAGTTTGGCTAGTCAAATGTAGCTTTTGAATGCAATGGGTAGTTTATTTTTGAGTGGTCTATTCCCAAAAGTAAAGAATGAAGATATGCAGCCAGGGATATAGCTCAGCAGCACATGGCCTGCCTGGCAAGTGGCAGGTGGTGAGTTCAATTCCTGGTACAAAAAAAAAAAAAAAAAAAAAAAAAAATAACAGGGGCTGGGGAGATGACTCAGTGGAATAAG